GGGGGCAGCAGTGGAGGTAGTGGAGGCAGTGGAGGTGGTGGAAGCGGTGGGAGTGGTGGCGGGAGTGGGGGTGTTGGTGGCGGCGGTGGAGGCAGCGGTGGGAGTGGCGGTCGTGGCGGCGGTGGGACTGGTGGCGGTAGGACTGGCGCTCGACGTGGAGGTTCTGGAGGTGGCCAGCGGTAGCAGCAGCAGCGTCGGAGCGAGACCCAGTCGCCCTAGAAGCTTCGTGAGTGGTTGTTTAGGCGTGGGACGTCTGGGGGTAGTGATAGCTGCCCATATGTCATTCGCACGGGTGACCGTGCTGGTCAGACATGCGGGAGGCTTCACACTCAGCACCGCTGCTTCTCCCGCCTCGACGACGCTTGGCGTGCTGAGTTTGGTGACGAGGTCGAGCTCCCTTGCTGGGCATATCTACTTAGGTCTGGAGTTGCTATCTTTGACCTAGACTTTGATGTCATTCTCTCTGCTATGTATGCTTTGTCTGCTAGTGCTGAGGGTGACTGTTACCGGTGTGTGCCACCTGACCCAGGTATAGCGGCTGCTGCTCTAGTTGCTAGTGAGTCTCGTACTCTCCCTGGTACTGCGCCTGCTGAGGCCTTGCACACCTTCACGTTGGACTCAGGCGCCTCGCGCTGTTTCTTTCGTGACAGCACCACCCTCACTCCTCTCCCTGCACCTGTCCCGATCAGACTGGCTGACCCCTCCGGGGGCCCGGTCGTGGCCCGTTCCTCCACTGTCCTCCCGTGTCCGGCGGTTCTGTCCGGCTCACTGCCTCCCCTCCCGCCCTCACCTGCCCCGCACTGCCTTCCTTGCGTTGAGGGGCGGCAGCGCGCCGCTCCTCACTCCTCCTCGTTTCCCGCGACGACTGCTCCCCTGCAGACTCTCCACATGGACATGTGGGGCCCAGCCCGAGTCAGTGGACAGGGCCGCGAGCGCTACTTTCTGCTGGTAGTTGACGACTACACGCGGTACACCACGGTCTTCCCCTTGCGTAGCAAGGGTGAGGTCGTTGATGTCTTGATCCCTTGGATCCGCACAGCCCGTCTTCAGCTCCGCAAGCGGTTCGGCCAGGACCTTCATGTCCTGCGTCTGCACTCTGACCGAGGTGGTGAGTTCTCCTCCGACCTCTTGCGGGACTTTTGTCGTGGGGAGGGAATTCTCCAGTCGTTCACGCTTCCGGACTCCCCTCAGCAAAATGGGATTGTTGAGCGCCGCATTGGCTTAGTCATGGAGGTCGCTCGTACCTCCATGATCCATGCGGCTGCTCCCCATTTTCTGTGGCCGTTTGCGGTCCAGTACGCTGCGCATCAGCTCAACCTCTGGCCCCGTGTCTCCTTACCGGAGACCTCGCCCACACTGTGTTGGACGGGGGAGGTTGGCGATGCGTCGGTGTTCCGGGTCTAGGGTTCTCGTGCCTTTGTTCGCGATACGTCCGCGGACAAGCTCTCCGCCCGTGCTATCCCCTGCGTCTTCCTTGGCTTTGTCCCTGATGCGCCTGGCTGGCAGTTTTACTACCCCACCTCGCCCCGTGTCCTCCCTTCTCAAGACGTCACGTTTGACGAGTCGGTTCCCTTTTACCGTCTCTTCCCCTACCGCTCTGCCCCTCCCCCGCCCCCGCCGCTCTTCCTTGCTCCCGGCCCCCCTCCGGTAGACCCCCTCCCGCCCCAGGGTCCTGCTCCCTCAGGTGTGTCTCAGGTAGACCCTCTCCCTGGTACTGCGCTTGTCGAGGTAGCTGTCGGCTCAGGTGCTGCTCGAGGTGCTGCGTCTGGGGGTGCTGCGTCTGGGGGTGCGGAGCCGGGGGGTGCGGAGTCTGAGGGTGCTGGGTCAGGGGGTGCTGAGCCTGGGGGTGAGGAGCCTGGGGGTGCTGAGCCTAAGGGTGTTGAGCCTGGGGGTGCTGAGTCGGAGGGTGCGGAGTCTGGGGGTGCTGAGCCTCGGGGTGTTGCTTCGTCTGTAGGTCCTGCTAGTCCTTCGCCGCGTCTGTCTTCGCAGCAGCTGCGTGAGTGGCTTGTTTGGCGCGCACGCCTTTGGAGTGGAGCTACTGGAGCTGGAGGAGCTGGAGACGCTGAAGCTGGAGGTGCTGGAGTTACTATTGGGGGTGCTGGTCCTGGAGGTGCTCGTACCAGGGGTGCAGGAGCTGCCCGGACTGGTGGTGTTGGGGGTGCTGGAGCTGGAGACCCTACGGAGCCTGGAGCTGCTGGAGCTCGAGGCTCTTGCGCTGGTGGCGCTGGCGCTGGAGGCGCTGGAGCTGGAGGAGCTGGAGTTGGAGGCACTGGCGCGGGAGGCGCTCGAGCTGCAGGAGCTGGAGCTGTTGACCCTGGAGCTGGAGGTGCTGGAGGCACTGTGCGGCGGCGAGAGTACTTCGTTCCCCTACTTCAGCAGGTTCTTGGTGTCCCGTCTTCTACTAGCCTTACTCCTCCCCTCCTGTGTCCACCGCCTGACCAGTCGCAGCCACCGTTACTGTCACCCTCCCCACTGCCTGCTCCTTCTCCTTACACTGAGCAGTCCAGCGGTCTTACAGAGCGTCGTGAGCCTGCGTCTCGTCCTGTCTCGCCTGTTCGCACTGCTCGTCGCATTTCCCGTTCGCGTCCTCCTCCTTTCCCTGGCACGTACGCTATGGCACTCCGTCCTTCCTCTGTTCCACTGCGTGTTCCTCTGCCTGCTCCTCTTGAGTCCTCTCTTCCTGAGGTCCCTGACCCTGAGTCTGACCGCGCTCGTGCTGCCAGTCCCACTGTCTCTCGTCTTCTCGCCACTGCTGTCACTGACCCTTCTTTTGAGTCTGCTGCTGCGTCTGCTCTCGTTGCTGAGCTGCTTGAATTTGCTGCTGCCTGCCGTCTAGACTACGCCACCGCTCTTGTTGCTGAGTCTACGTCTGCCAGTCATCCGTCCGTCAGGGGTGAGTGTGCTCTTGGCACGGACGTTCTTGAGGACAGGCAGGAGGACTTTGAGTGTCTTGCAGTTGCTGTACCTCGTTTCGCTTCCATGCTGCTTGCCCCTGAGGGAGACCCGGATGCACCAAACATCCCGACCCCGCGCTCTTACGCAGAGGCGATTACAGGTCCTTACTCCTCCTAGTGGCAGGCAGCCATGGATGCCGAGATGGCATCCTGGAAGTCCACAGGCACCTACGTCGACGAGGTTCCCCCACCTGGGGCGAACATAGTCGATGGCATGTGGATTTTCAGGGTGAAGCGGCCGCCGGGTTCTCCGCCTGCCTTCAAGGCACGTTACGTTGCTCGAGGCTTCAGTCAGCGACAGGGGGTTGACTACTTCCAGACCTTCTCCCCCACCCCAAAGATGACCACTCTTCGGGTGTTGCTGCACGTCGCTGCTCAGCGTGACTACGAGTTGCACTCTCTGGACTTCAGCACACCTTTCCTGCAGGGCAGCCTGCACGAGGAGATCTGGCTACGCCGCCCACCTGGCTTCACTGAGTCGTTTCCTGCAGGTACTCAGTGGAGCCTCCGGCGGCCAGTCTACGGTCTCCGCCAGGTGCCTCGCAAGTGGCACGGCACACTGAGGACTACACTTGCGGCTCTTGGGTTTGCTCCTGCTACTGCTGACCCATCGATATTTCTATGCACCGACACCTCGCTGCCGCCGTTCTACGTCCTCGTGTACGTCGACGACCGCGTCTTTGCCACTGCTGACACTAAGGCACTGACCCTTGTGAAGTCCGAGCTGCAGAAGAGACACACCTGCACTGACCTGGGTGGGCTGCGCAACTATCTTGGCTTGCAGATCAACCGGGACAGAGCACAGTGCATCATCACCCTGACTCAGTCACACATGGTGCACCAGGTCCTTCAGCGCTTTGGCTTCCAGTTCTCCTCGCCACAGCCCACTCCTCTGTCTACCAGCCACTCGCTCTCAGCTCCACCTTCGGACGAGTCCGTAGAGCCGAGTGGTCCGCACCCATAGCTTGTGGGTTGCCTCATGTACCTGATGACATGCACACGACCTGACCTCGCGTACCCTCTTAGCCTGTGGCTTGCTACGTGGCTCCCGGTAGGCACCGAAAGATGCACTTGGATGCTGCGAAGAGGGTACTGCGTTACTTGTGCAGTACATCGGGCATGGGGCTCGTGCTTGGAGGACGGTATTCAGTTGTCCTCACTGGTCACGCAGACGCTTCTTGGGTTGACGACTCAGCTACGCAGCGGTCGTCACAGGGTTACACCCTCAGCCTGGGTTCCGGCTCTGTTTCCTGGCGGTCTACCCGCTCGTCTTCGGTTCTCAGTTCCAATTGTGAGGCTGAGAACTACGCAGGAGCCATGGCTGCACATGAGCTACGCTGGCTCACCTACTTGCTGACTAACTTGGGAGAGCAGCCTCGTTCGCCTCCAGTTCTGTACGTAGACAACAAGGCCATGATTGCCTTGTGTCAGGAGCACAGACTGGAGCACAGAACGAAGCACGTCGCTCTGCGATACTTCCTTGCTCGAGAGTTGCAGCTGCGTGGCCAGCTTCGTCTTGCGTACGTGGCTACTAGGGCCAACACTGCTGATATACTGTATTCACCAAGGCACTTCTGCCTTGTGATCATCAGCGCTTCTCTACTGTGTTAGGCCTTGTGCCTACTTTGCCTCACTTGCTCACTGCATGACTTTGCTTGTACTGTGATCTATATATATATATATATGTATATATATATATCTGCATACTTACACTTGCTAGGGTATGATCACTGTATTGTTTGTTCTGTTTTATATAACTCAGCATGTGAACTGGCCTTGTGGCCCTTTGCTTGTGCTCGAACTGTGTGGTGACTTTGTGATCCACCCTGAGCTTGCTTTGCTTTCTTGAATGGTCTTGTGACCACTTGTTCTCCCCCACTTTGCCTATGGGGGTGTGTCAGAATGTTATAGTGCTTACATTTGTGTAGGCTATAGTGGGGTAGCCCATAAGGGGTACAACCCAATTTGGGTTAGTACTTGTACCCAACTTTCTGTTCAATGCATTCATTCTTGTTCGTTAATTCTGACACAGGGGCAGCGAGCGTGATGCAGAGCGGTGACGCGGACCCGTTCACGCTGTGGAGTCAGGAAATCGTCACGAATGCAGCGAGCTAGAACGTTGCGAAGCCCTCTACAGTTCGCGACTGCTTGCGAAACTTCAAAATCAGGTAACGCGCCGTGTTAACAAGACGCTTTTGACCTTATGGAAACCATTTACCAAATTCTTTAGCAAGCTTTTCGGTCTTTGCGCAATTACTCTCTTTGACTTTGAGCAATGAGAGTGACGTGGAAGACCTTCGGTCGGTGGTCAACGGAGTCAACAACCACTACGTGTCCAAGGACACTGCCATTGACTCGCCAGACCAGACGAACCTTCCCAGCAGCGTCGACATCGTCGCGGAGCTGACGGCCATTTTGCAGCGCGTCGAGCGGGGCGAATACGAACGGCTGGTGGACGCCCACGTGGACACGTTCAACGCGATCAACAGTCTGATTGCGGCAAGCAGCAGCAGCAGCGGCGGCAACGGCGGCGGCGACAGAGAGAGGGAGTTGCGTGAGGCACTTCCTGTGTTCCAGGGTGATGTGTTGAGGAGACGACTCCAGTACAGGCAACACCAGCAGCCCTACAGGCGCCAGCAGCAGCCACAGCGGCAGTTGCAGGAGCAACAAGTGGAGGGGCAAGGGGCGGAGGGGCAAGAGGCAGAGGGGCAAGAGGAGCAAGGGCAAGAGGAGCAGGGGCAAGAGGAGCAGGGGCAAGTGGAGCAGGGGCAAGAGGCGCAGGGGCAAGAGGCGCAGGGGCAAGAGGAGCAGGGCAAGAAGCGCAGGTGCAAGAGGAGCAGGGGCAAGAGGAGCAGGGGCAAGAGGAGCAGGGGTAAGAGGAGCAGGGGCAAGAGGAGCAGGGGCAAGAGGCGCAGGGGCAAGTGGTATAGGGGAAAGATGCGCAGGGGCAAGAGGCGCAAGGGCAAGAGGAGCAGGGGCAAGTGGAGAAGGGGCAAGAGGCGCAGGGGCAAGAGGCGCAGGGGCAAGAGGCGCAGGGGCAAGAGGAGCAGGGGCAAGAAGCGCAGGGGCAAGAGGCGCAGGGGCAAGAGGAGCAGGGGCAAGAGGAGGAGGGGCAAGAGGAGTAGGGGCAAGTGGAGGAGGGGCAAGAGGAGCAGGGGCAAGAGGCGCAGGGGCAAGAGGAGCAGGGGCAAGAGGAGCAGGGGCAAGAGGCGCAGGTGCAAGGGGAGCAGGGGCAAGAGGCGCAGGGTCAAGAGGCGCAGGGTCAAGAGGCGGATGGGGAAGAGGCGGGTGGGGAAGAGGCGGGTGGGGAAGAGGCGGGTGGGGAAGAGGCGGGTGGGGAAGAGGCAGGTGGGGAAGAGGCGGGTGGGGAAGAGGCGGGTGGGGAAGAGGTGGGTGGGGAAGCGGGTGGGGAAGAGGTGGGTGGGGAAGAGGTGGGTGGGGAAACTGGTGGGGAAGAGGCGGGTGGGGAAGAGGTGGGTGGGGAAGCGGGTGGGGAAGAGGCGGGTGGGGAAGAGGCGGGTGGGGAAGAGGCGGGTGGGGAAGAGGTGGGTGGGGAAGCGGGTGGGGAAGAGGCGGGTGGGGAAGAGGTGGGTGGGGAAGCGGGTGGGGAAGCGGGTGGGGAAGAGGTGGGTGGGGAAGAGGCGGGTGGGGAAGAGGTGGGTGGGGAAGAGGTGGGTGGGGAAGAGTCGGGTGGGAAAGAGGTGGGTGGGGAAGAGGCGGGTGTGGAAGAGGGGGTTGGGGAAGACTCGGGTGGGGAAGAGACGGATGGGCAAGGGGCGCTGGTGGTAATCATCTTCTAAGAAGCGTGGCTCTTAGGGTGTAATAGAGTTAGAGAAGTTAGAGTAGCTAGTGAAGTAGATGGTAGGCAAAGTAGGTGCGCTACTACACCAGTAACAGTCAGCTGTCAAGTGCTGTTGAAGGGGAGCAGGTTGCTTGAATTGAAGGTGTGTCAGTCAGTGCCGTGCCGACATGCACAACTTCTAGAGTTGACTCGCATAATGGGTCAGGTTTGGCGGATTCAGGGCAACTTTTTGGCCCTAGTGGGGTAGCCCATAAGGGGTACAACCTAATTAGGGTTAGTACTTGTATTCAGTTTCTGGTCAATGCATTCATTCTCGTTCAGTATTCTGACATGGTATCAGAGCGGGTCCTGTTCTAGAACCGTTTTTTTTTTGGCCCACCGAACAGTTCCCTGCCCGTAGCGCGTTACCCTGCTCGTGACACCCTACCCTGCCCGTCGCGCTGCCCCACCAGTCGCGCTGTCCTGCCCTGCCCATCGCGCCGCCCTGCTAGCCGCGCGCTGCCCTGCTAACTGCCGCGCCGCCCTGCCCTGCCCGTCGCGCCGCCCTGCTAGCCGCGCGCCGCCCTGCCCTGCCTGTCGCGCCGCCCTGCTGGCCGCGCACTGCCCTGCCCTGCCCGCGCACCGCCCTGCTGGCTGCCGCGCCGCCCTGCCCTGCCCGCGCGCCACCCTGCCCTGCCCGCGCGCTGCCCTGCTGGCTGCCGCGCCGCTCTTTGGAGCCCGTGCGCCGCCCTTTGCAGCCCGCGCGCCGCCCTGCTGGTCGCGCGCCGCCCCTTTCCTGCCCACGCGCTGCCCTACTCGCCGCGCGCCGCCGTTCCTGCCCGCGCGCCGCCGTGCAGCCTGCCCGCGCGCCGCCCTGCTAGCCGCACGCCGCCATTTCCTGCCCGCGTGCTGCTCTGCCCTGCCCGTGCCCTGCCCTGCCCTGCCCTGCCCTACGCTCCGCCCTGTCTTGGCCATGCGCCGCCCTGCCCTGCCCTAAGCGATTTCCTAGTGCACGCGCGCCGCCCTGCTTGTCACACACCACCCTGCTCTGCCCGCTATGGCTACTCTCAGCAATCTCACATTCGATCCTGAGGGACGTTTGATCCAGTTCAATACGTGGCTCGATGACTTACAGCTGTACCTACTAAGCAATTCAAGAGACAGCGTTTCGTTGTTTGACCACACGTTTGGAGCCTCTCTCGCCCCTCCCGACACAGCTGAAAGTGCGACTCGCTCATAGTGGCTTACCCGTGACGCTGCTGCTCGCTTAGCCGTTCGCAATCACCTGCCGTTAGCCGAACGCGCTCACTTTGGCCAGCACAAGACTGCTAAAGCCCTGCACAAGGCTGTAGTCGCTCGTTACTCTTCCCCTGCCACTGCTACTCTCAGCCGCCTTATACTGCCCTACCTTTTTCTCGAGCTGTCAGCCTTTGCCACAGTCGAGGACCTCATCACCCACCTTCGCACTAGCGACACTCGCTACCGTGCTGCCCTCAAAGTCGAGTTCCTAGACAAGAACCCGCCCCCGATGTACATCACTCTCTACTTCATAGTCACCCGCCTCCCTGACTCTCTTCGCGCAGTCAGGGACCACTTTCTCGCACTTGACCCCACAGACCTCACTGTCGACCTGCTCGAGAAGCACCTCCTTGAAGCTAAGACTAGCATAGTCATTTTAGGTGCTGCTCGTGGCACTCCTCGCACACCCTTATTAGAGGGGTGTTCCCCCTCCCCCCTTGCCCCCCCCTACGCTTCTGCTGCTGCTCTTGACATCCTTGGTACTGAGGAGGTCAGGGGTCCTTCGGCTCCTAGTGGTAAGCGCCGCAGCAGCAAGGGCAAGGGACGCAAGAGTGGTGGAGGTGGTAGCGGGGGTGGTGGTGGTGGAGGCGGTGGAGGCGGTGGAGGTGGCGGAGGTGGCGGTGGGAGTGGTGGCGGGAGTGGGGCCTTCGGTGGCGGCGGTGGTAGCAGTGGTGGGAGTGGTGGTGGCGGAGGTGGCGGCAGTGGGAGTGGTGGAGGCGGCAGTGGTGGCGGTCGGGGTGGAGCTGCTCAGTGGGGAGGTTATGGGGGTGGCCAGAGGCAGCAGCAGCGTCCGAGCGAGACCCCTATGCCCTAGCAGCTTCGTGAGTGGTTTGCTCAGCGTGGGGCTTGTATGGGTAGTGCTCGCTGCCCGTATGTCATTCACACAGGTGACCGCGCTGGTCAGACATGCGGGAAGTTTCACACACAGCACCGCTGCTTCTCCCACCTTGACGATTCTTGGCGCGCAGAGTTTGGCGACGAGGCTAAGTGCCCCCGCTGGCTAGAGATGCTTAGTTCTGGTGTTGATATCTTTGCTCCTGACTATGATGCTATCCTTGCTGCCATGTATGCCTTGACTGTTAGTGCTGAGGGTGACTCTTGCCTGTGTGTGCCGCCCGACCCAGGTATAGAGGATGCTGCTCTAGGTGCTAGTGAGTCTGCTCTCCCTGGTACTGCGCCTGCTGAGGCCTTGCACACCTTCATACTTGACTTAGGTACTTCCCGCTCTTTCTTTCGTGAAAGTACCACACTCACTACACTCCCTGCACCTGTTCTAGTCAGACTGGCTGACCCCTCAGGGGGCCCAGTTCTTGCACGTTCCACCACTGTTCTCCCGTGTCCAGCGGTTCCGTCTGGCTCACTGTCAGGTCTTCACCTCCCTGGTTCTCTACGAACTTGGTGAGTACCGCTGCCCTCCAGGATGCGATGGTTACTACCACCACTACTGGGGGTCAACGTGTGGCAATCTGCACGTGTACACGGACGGGCCGTCACCTGGCCACGTTCACCCGTCGGCCTGGGTCGAGTCTGTACACACTCACTACTGAGCCTGCTCAGGTAGCTGCTTCTGGTCAGGTGTCTGCGTCAGGTCGGGTAGCCGCCCCCTATTCGTGTCGCCTCCTGTCACACCAGACTCTCCTTTGGCACCACCGACTTGGTCACCCCTCCTTGCCACGCCTTCGTGGCATGCACTCCCGCCTCCTTGTTTCTGGTCTTCCCAGGTCTCTGCCTCCCCTCCCGCCCTCGCTTGCCCCGCCCTGCCTTCCTTGCGTCGAGGGGCGGCAGCGTGCCGCTCCTCACTCATCGTTTCCCCCGACGACTGCTCCCCTGCAGACTCTCCACATAGACGTGTGGGGCCCAGCCCACGTCAGTGGACTAGACCGCGAGCGCTACTTCCTGCTGGTTGTTGACGACTACACGCGTTACACCACGGTCTTCCCCTTGCGCAGCAAGGGTGAGGTCCCTGATGTCTTGATCCCTTGGATCCGCGCAGTCCGTCTCTAGCCCCGTGAGCGGTTCCGTGAGGACCTTCCTGTCCTGCGTCTGCACTCTGACAAAGGTGGTGAGTTCTCCTCCGACCTCTTGCGGGAATTTTGTCGTGGGGAGGGCATCCTCCAGTCATTCACGCTACCGGCCTCCCCGCAGCTAAATAGGATTGCTGAGCGCTGCATTGGCTTAGTCATGGAGGTGGTTTGTACCTCCATGATCCATGCGGTTGCTCCCCATTTTCTGTGGTCGTTTGCGGTCCGGTACGCTGCGCATCAGCTCAACCTCTGGCCCCGTGTCTCCTTGCCGGAGACCTCGCCTACACTGCATTGGACGGGGAAGGTTGGCGATGCGTCAGTGTTCTGGGTCTGGGGTTCTCGCGCCTTTGTACGCGATACTTCCACGGACAAGCTCTCCTCCCGCGCCATTCCCTGCGTCTTCCTTGGCTTTCCCGCTGACGCGCCTGGCTGGCAGTTTTACCACCCCACCTCGCGCCGTGTCCTGCCCTCTCAGGACGTCACGTTTGACGAGTCGGTTCCCTTTTACCGTCTCTTCCCCTACCGCACTGCCCCTCTCCCCCCCCCCCCCCCCTTGCCGCTCTTCCTCGCTCCAGGTCCCCCTCCGGTAGACACCCTCCCCCCTCAGGGTCCTGCTCCCTCAGGTGTGTCTCAGGTAGACCCACTCCCCCTGGCTGAGCCTGTCGAGGTCACTGTAGACTCGGGTGCTGCTAGGGGTGCTGCGTCAGGGGGTGCTGAGCCTGCGAGTGCAAAGCCTGGGGCTGCTGAGCCTGCGAGTGCGGAGCCTAGAGGTGTTGAGCCTGGGGGTGCGGAGCTTTGGGGTGCTGAGTCTGAGGGTGCGGATTCTGGGGGTGCTGAGCCTGAGGGTGTGGAGCCCGGGGGTGCTGAGCCTGAGGGTGCGGAGCCTGGGGGTGCTGAGTCTGAGCGTGCGGAGTCTGGGGGTGCTGAGCCTAGGGATACTGCGTCTGCCGGAGGTCTTGCGGGTGCCTCGCCACGACTGTCTCACCGGCGGGAGCCTCTCTCACCACGGCAGCTGCGCGAGTGGTTTGCTCGGCGTACACCCCTTAGGAGTGGCGCTGGTGGAGCTGGAGGCCCTGCCGCTGGAGGCACTGGAGCTGGAGGTGCTGGAGCCACTAGTCCTTGAGGTGCTGGAGTTACTACTGGAGCTGCTGGTCCTGGAGGTGCTCGTACTAGAGGTACTAGAGCTGCCGGAGCTGGTGGTGTTGGAGGCGCTGGAGTTTGAGTCCCTGGAGCTGGAGGCGCTGGAGCTGGAGGCGCTGGAGCTTGAGGCACTGGAGTTGGAGACCATGGAGCTGGAGGCACTGGAGCTGGAGATCCTAGAGCTGGAGGCGCTGGCGCTGGAGGCGCTGGAGCTGGAGGAGCTGGAGCTGGAGGCACTGGAGCTGGAGGCGCTGGCGCTGGAGGTGCTGGATCTGGAAACCCTGGAGCTGGAGGTTTTGGCGCTGGGGGTGCTGGAGCTGGCGGTATTGGTGCTGGAGGCAATGTGCAGCGGCGACCGTTTTTCGTTCCGCCGCCGCCATCGTCTCTGCCGCCACCTGGCTCGGTCCTTCGACAGGTTCTTAGTCTCCCGTCTTCTACTGGCCTTACTCCTCGCTTACTTTGTCCACCGCCTCACCAGTCGCAGCCATAATTACAGCCAGACTCCCCACTGCTTGCTCCTTCTCCTTACGCTGAGCAGATAGACTCTCTTACAGAG